ATCAGAATCAGAATAAGCTTTATTATTATTGCACCGAGATACAACGAGAACATGTTAAAATTCAATCATTTTTATTACTTAATTGGTGGTTTTTTTTTTAAACATTTATTTAAAAAAATGATTAGTACTTTTTATTCTTCTACTACTTTTTTCCTAACATGTTTTACCGTTCTTGAGGCCCTGGGTTTTTTTACAGGTAAATTTGCATACAGCCATTTTTTCATAAAGCCTCGACACATATGTGCCCTGTAGTGACGACTCTGGCTGCAGTCTCCGGCTGATCTGCATCATGGCTTCATGCTTCTCTCTGCTGTTTGTTTTGTGCCTGGTGTTCAGACCGGGCTGCACTGTGAGCTCACCTGAATGGTTTCAGAACATTTCTACAAACCTCTTCAGTTTATCTGGAGATATTAACCTTGGAGGGCTTTTTCCAATTAACCAGCAGTCCAACAACCTCAGTCCCATACTGGAACCCAACAGCATCAAATGTGAAAGGTAAACAATTAAAAATGTTACTTTTATGCACATACACTCCATGTGTTGGTCTTGACTTGTTTTGTTGTTGTCAACAGTATGAATGAAATCGGACTGGGCCTTGCTTTGGTCATGAAATATGCCGTGGATGAGATCAACATAAACAAGACTCTGCTTCCTGGCATCAAGTTAGGTTATAAAATCTATGACACATGCAAGCAATCTTCTGTTGTTGTCAAGCCCACTATTTCCTTCCTCACTGAAAAGACAAGCAACGCTCTTCTGGTGGAATGTAATTACACCGACTATGAGACGAGCATTTCAGCAGTCATCGGTCCGTATACCTCAGAAATGGTTTCAGTCATCGGAAAGCTGCTGGGATTTTTTCTAATGCCACAGGTTTGGAATGCAATAAACTAATACACATTCTCAGGCAAATATTACACTAAACACAAAAGAAAACTGGAAAAAAATCAATATATATATTAAATTTAGTGTTTAATAATTGAAGTTTGTCCCTTTGGGTACTTTTTCATTTTACTGAGCCTTTGAAAAAATTATTTTACTGTGGTGGACCCGAGTTATAAAAAAGGTATTACTTTTATGAAGTTACCAAAAACTGAAGATGGGAGTCATATATAAGAGTTATTACAAAACCAAAACATTTCTGATAAAGTGCTATCAGAAAAATTTAAAAAACCTAAAGTCATCAAAACACATCTGCCAGTAAATGTGATTTAACAATTAAAGCTAGTTATTTTAGGTCTTATTTATAAAAAAAATAAAATAAAATTACAAACTGTTTCCTTGGCTCAAATATGTTGGCTATTACTAAACTGGACATTTAAAAACACTTAAACAGTATATACTTTGCAAAAATAGTTTTGTAAATCAAAATGTGCATTTAGACATATTAGTTACTAACTAGAGAAATTGCATTTCCTGCAAAAATGCAGTGTGAATGCTTATTGCTGAGGAAATTGTTGAAAAATGGCTGAAATAAGCTAAAACCTTGCTGAAATGTAGCTGAAATGGAAGAACAAGTCTAAGTTAGCAGAAGAAAGAATAAAAGAAATCATATTTTTGGAATTAGGTTTAAATAAACTGAAATGAGCACGAGAATTAGGAAATTAGCTAATAAAGCTGAAATTAGCAAAAATAAATCAGAAGGTAGTGAAAGGAGCTGAAATTAGCTATAAAAAAGGTTGGAATTAGCTGTAAAAGCTAGAATTAGCATAAAATACTTAAATAGTAGCATAAATAACCGAAACTAGTAGAAATAAGCTGAAAGGTGCATAACAAGCTGAAATTATCAGAAAGGTGTTAATTAGAATGAAAGTAGTAGAAATTAGCACAAAAAATTGAATTAATCTGAAAACAGCTAAAATTCACTAAAAAGGGTAGCTTAAAAGGTATAACAAGCTTAAATTAGCAGAAAGAACATTTGACCATAGGCTGAAATAAGCAAAAATGAGCACAAAAAGTGAAAATTATCTGAAAAAAAACAAAAAAAAACCTGTGTTGAAAAGTAGCTAAAAAGGCAGAAAAAAATCTGTACTTACAAGAAAGAAATGGAGAGAGCACATTTTTGCTGAATTAGGCTGAAAAAGTTTAAATGACTGCAAAAAAATGTGGAATTAGCTGAAAAAGCTTAAATTAGCAAAATGTATAGCTGATATAGTAGAAAAAGCTGACACTTGCAGAAATAAGCTGAAAAGAGCATAACAAGCTGAAATTAACAGAAAGACGTTAGAAGACGCACACAAACGTTTTAGTAAGCAGAAATTATATGAAAGGAGCACAAAACAACTGAAAAAACAGCTGAAATTATCCATCCATCCATCCATTATCTTTACCCGCTTATTCCATTTTGGGTCACGGGGGTCGCCGGTGCCCATGTCCAGCAATCGCTGTGCGAGGGGCGGGGTACACCCTGGACGGGTCGCAAGTCCATCACAGGGCCACATAGAGACAAACGAGACAAACAACCATTCACTCTCTCACTCACACCTAGGGACAATTTAGAGTTACCAATCAGCCTAACATGCATGTTTTTGGTCTGTGGGAGGAAACCGGAGTACCCGGAGAAAACCCACGCATGCACGGAGAGAACATGCGAACTCCACCCAGAAAGGCCCCTGGACCGGGATTTGAACCAAGGACCTGCTCGCTGAGAGGCAGCAGCTCTACCAGTTGCGCCACCATGCTGCCCCAGCTGAAATTAGCTTAAACATTTTTTTAATTAGCACAAGGAAGCTGAAAGAAGCTGAACCAGAACAAAATGTGAAAGGAGCAGTAAAAGGTTGTAAACAGATCTAAAGATCTGAAGGATGTAAAATGAGCTCAACTCATTTTCAATGAGAAAAAGTGGCAGAAAAGGCTAAATATTTCAAAAAGCTAAAGTTACACCAATACTAAATGTCAATCAAGTCAATGCTGCAGCATTGTCCTGAACGTTTTGATTTCTGATTTGTTGAAATAGCTTAAAAGCCGAGGGATGAAAATCGCACCAAAAAACATACGGAAGAAAAATGGATGACAATAGTGTGAAAGATTCATAAGCGTTCACAAGCATTGACTCCTGGCAGGGACCAATGCAGACATGTTCCTGTTTTTAGTTTTCTACATTCGCCTTAGAATCTAGCTGTTTTTTTTTTTTTTGTTAACTTTTTTTTTTATTTTTTTTAGCCATCCTAATTGTTTAAGAAAACAAAACAAAACTGGAGTATATTTATTTATTTATAGAGCACAATTTTTATGTATGACTTTTTATAACTGTTTATTGTTGTCCCTGTTGTCCATTGTTGTCATCATTCTTTGTTGAAATCAGGTCTCTCTTGTAAATGAGTCCTCGAGGCTCAATGGGATTTTACCTGTCTAAAAAAATGGTTGAATGAATGAAAACTCTTCGTGAGGATCAGTGGTTTGAGCTCCATATCTGATCTGTGTCAATTACCAGAATCTGCACCCGATCATGAAACTCAGTTATATCAACCCCATCTCTAAAAAGAACTTCAGTAGCGAAATCATGTTTCTGGATGTTTAGTACTCATTGCATTCCAGTCTACGAACCAGATTCCAAAACAGTTGGGACACTAAACAAATTGTGAATAAAAACTGAATGCAATGATGTGGAGGTGGCAAATGTCAATATTTTATTCGTAATATAACATAGAAGACAGATCAAAAGTTTAATCTGAGTAAATGTAACATTTTAAAGGAAAAATATGTTGATTCAAAATTTCACAGTGTCAACAAATCCCAAAAAGGTTGGGACAAGTAGCAATAAGTGACTGGAAAAAGGAAATTGAGCATAGAACGAACAGCTGAAAGACCAATTAACACTAATTAGGTCAATTGACAACATGATTGGGTATAAAAAGAGCTTCTCAGAGTGTCAGTGTCTCTCAGAAGCCAAGATGGTAAGAGGATCACCAATTCCACCATTGTTGCACAGAAAGATAGTGCAGCAATACCAGAATGGTGTTACCCAGAGTAAAATAGCAAAGACTTTTAAGTTATCATCATCAACCGTGCATAACATCATCAAAAGATTCAGAGAATCTGGAACAATCGCTGTGCGTAAGGGTCAAGGCCGTAAAACTCTACTGGATGCTCGTGATCTCCGGGCTCTTAAACGTCACTGCACCTCAAACAGGAATGCCACTGTCAAGGAAATAACAGAATGGGCTCAGGAATACTTCCAGAAAGCATTGTCAGTGAACACAATCCACTGTGCCATCCGCCGTTGCCAGCTGAAACTCTACAGTGCAAAGAGGAAGCCATTTCTAAGCAAGCTCCACAAGCTCAGACGTTTGCACTGGGCCAGGGGTCATTTAAAATGGAGTGTGGCAAAATGGAAGACTGTTCTGTGGTCAGATGAGTCACGATTTGAAGTTCTTTATGAAACACTGGGACGCCATGTCATCCGGACCAGAGAGGCCAAGGATAGCCCATGTTGTTATCAACGCTCCGATCAGAAGCCTGCATCACTGATGGTATGGGGTTGCATGAGCGCTTGTGGCATGGGCAGCTTGCATGTCTGGAAAGGCACCATTAATGCAGAGAACTATGTTCAGGTTCTAGAACAACATATGCTCCCATCTAGACGTCATCTCTTTCAGGGAAGACCCTGCATTTTTCAACACGATAATGCCAGACCACATTCTGCAGCAATCACAACATCATGGCTACGTAGGAGAAGGATCCGGGTACGGAAATGGCCAGCCTGCAGTCCAGATCTTTCACCTATAGAGAACATTTGTTGCATCATAAAGCGGAAGGTGCGACAAAGAAGGCCCAAGATGACTGAACAGTTAGAGGCCTGTATTAGACATGAGTGGGAGAGCATTCCTATTTCTAAACTTGAGAAACTGGTCTCCTCTGTCCCCAGACGTCTGTTGAGTGTTGTAAGAAGAAGGGGGGATGCCACACAGTGGTAAAAATGGACTTGTCCCAACTTTTTTTAGATTTGTTGACGCCATGAAATTTGGAAACAACAGATTTTTCCCTTAAAATGATACATTCTCTCAGTTTAATCTTTTGATCTGTGATTTGTGTTCTATTCTGAATAAAATATTAGATGTTGGCACCTCCACATCATTGCATTCAGTTTTTATTCACAATTTGTTTAGTGTCCCAACTTTTTTGGAATCCGGTTTGTAGTTCAAAATAAACATAAATTCACACAGTCCATAAACTGTGCATGTTAACCTGTGGGACAGAGGTTTTTCAACCAGGATATTATCTCAGAAGTGCATTTTGTGTCTTGAGTCTGTGACCTCAAGTTGTTTTCCGTTTATTCTACAACTAATAGAACTGTCCTATTTCCAGATCAGTTACGGTGCCACCAGTGACAAATTCAGTGACAATCTCCTCTACCCATCGTTCTTCCGTACAGTACCCAGTGACAAATGGCAAGTGGATGCCATGGGACTTCTAATGGGGAAGTTTGGTTGGAACTGGGTGGCCGTGATAGGCAGTGATGAGGAGTATGGGCAACGAGGTGTGCAGCAGTTCTCCAAAATAGCAGAGAATATGTCCATCTGTGTGGCCTATCAGGGCCTGATTCCAGTATATGATGACCCCGAATCGGCTGTCGACACCATTATCAGCAATATCAAAGCAGCGGACGTCAAAGTGGTCATGGTGTTTTCCCTCGCAGAGCCGGCTGTGTTCTTTTTTAGCCAGGTCAGTGGAGCTCTAATTCAATGTTGAGAAAAGCTTGCATCACAGTGGACAGTCATGTCATGCTCTGCATTTCAGGTCATCAAAAATAATTTAACAGGCGTGTGGCTTGCCAGCTCCAGCTGGGCCATCAGCAATCGAATTGCCTCTCTCCCAGACATCCAAAAAATTGGCACAGTCATTGGATTCATCAACAAGTTGGATACTTTGGATTTACTAACGCCCTACGCACAAGAGCTCTTCACTAAACTGAGTGAGGAGAGGGCAAATATGCCCCCTCAAGAACAAAAACCGGGCAACCCCTGCCCACAGTGTTGGAACTTGTCACCAGCAAATATCAGCTTGGTGACTGACAGCGCTGTGCAGAGAGTCGCGTTTTCCGTGTATGCTGCCGTCTACAGCGCTGCGCAGGCTCTGCATAACATGCTGGAGTGCACTTCGATGGCTTGTAATTGGAAATCCAACAATAAAATCTATCCCTGGAAGGTAAAAATTATTATCAACCATATTTAAAACAAACTGCTCAACTTAAAACCAAGGAAATGTTTGTCATAAAGCTAAAATAAACCTTTGTTATACATACTGTTTTGCAGCTGTTGGAGGTTTTAAGAACCACTTCTGTGAACATAAAAGGCACGCAAATAGAGTTCAGTGAAAACGGAAATCCAAACATAGGGTACAGTGTGATCCAGTGGATCTGGAGCGCTTCAGGTGCTGAGTTCAATGTTGTTGGAAGTTATTATCAAAACCATCTGTCCATCAATGAGTCCAGATTGAAGTGGCACACGAATGACTCAGGGGTAACTTCAGTCATTTATCAGACTCAACTCTTCAGAAAGGCTCTGGTCAAATTTAACTCAGTTTGGTTTCTACAAACGTATGTTTCTTACTTGAACTCTTCTAGGTTCCCACGTCGACGTGCTCAGCAGCATGTCAGGCTGGTCAGGTACGCAGAGTCAAAGGGTTTCATTCCTGCTGTTATGACTGTATCGACTGTCTGGAGGGCACCTACCAGAAAAATGAGGGTAACGTTGTTGGTCATGGACGATTTTATGATTTTTATCCAAACAGATATTTGTTATCTGACTGTAGACAATGCAATACAATTGAGTTTATTTATATAGTGCCAAGTCACAACAGAAGTCATCTCAGGGCACTAAACAGAAATATTCATATAGGTTATGGCAGCATAACAAGCCAACCCTAACTATAGGATTTATCAAAAAGGAAAGTCTTAAGCCCAGTCTTAAACTGGACAGTGTGTCAGTCTCATGGACATAAACTGGAAGTTGGTTCCACAAGAGTAACTGATAACTGGAAGATCTTCCTCCCATTCTGCTCTTGGAAACTCTAGGAACCACAAGTAAACCTGCCGTCTAAGAGCAAAGTGCTCTGTTAGAAAAATACGGAACAATGAGATCTGTAATATAAGATAGAACTAGGTTGTTGAGGGCTTTGTAGGTTAGAAATAATATTTTGAATTAAATTCTGAATTTGACAGGGAGTCAATTAGATGAAAATGTGCATTAGTATAAGTATTATTTGTAAATCTCTTTAATGGAAGAGCTCCAAGAGTTACTAAGAAACCAACAAAGACTGTGGAAGTCATTTTATGCTGCTAAAACAAATATCCTCTTAAATCCATGTGACTTTAGAAACCCTGATACTTTCAAACAAAGTCAGGCCACCACATATCAATGTAATGTAGGAAAATGTTTGTAAATAAAGTTAAATGTATAAAAAAAATCTATGTTTTGAAAGAGGATTGCAAAAACTAAATGTGTGTGCGGAAAATCAGGAAACCAATAAGCATGAAAATATATTATTTTCCAAGACAAAGTGCTATTTGTTTTTGATAAAATCACAAACTTTACAGCCTTGTTTTGATTTCTGATATCTGATAAAACAGATCTTTTTGTGTGGTTCTTTTATTTTGTTTGGTTTGTGTTTTAGATGACATCCAGTGCACAGAGTGTCCTGAACATCAGTGGTCCTCCAAGTGCAGCACTAACTGCACTGACCCCATTTTTGAGGTTTTAGCATGGAACACTCCTGAGGCTCTGCAGATTCTGCTGGCAGGGATCGTCCTACTGACATGCCAGGTGTCAGTCTGCATCCTGTTCCTAAAGCATCGTGGGACCCCACTGCTGAAGGCCTCGGGGGGAGGCCAGAGTTTTGTGGCTCTGCTCAGCCTGATGGGGGCTTGCTTGAGTCTGTCCCTTTTCCTGGGGCAGCCCAACAACATTGTGTGTCGTCTTCAGCTGCCGCTGATCACCATCTTCCAAACTGTTGCCGTCTCCATTATTCTGTCCATCTCCCTGCAGGTGAGGAATGGCAGGAAACACACTGCCCTCTAGCGTTAGTGTGACGTAACTACATACAAAATGGAGCCAGAGGAGGGAAAAAAATCAACAGAAATGTATAATGCTTTAAAGTAATTCATTAAATTGTAAATCATACAGTTCATTCTATGAGTATTAACTTATGTAAGTTACAGATAAATAGTTTTGTACATCTGCAGAACGCTGGCAGGATGAGCAGTGATGTTTGGCATAACTGGCAGCCACCTAAGCTTTGTTTTTGTTTTACAAATACTAATTTATATATATATATATATATATATATATATATATATATATATATATATATATATATATATATATAATTTGTAGTTTCTCTGATGAAACAGAAAACATTCAGCAGCAATACATAGTACAGCCGGGTACTTACCTGGTACCTATCAAGTGCACTACTTATACTACCTGCTACTTTTAGGTACTGTACCAGGTAGCTACAAAATATGCAGGTATTTATCAGGTACTTACCAAGTACATACTGAGCTGTATAATGTAATGCCAGAATTACCAAACAACACAACAACAAAAGAGATAAAACGTTTAGTTAGTTTTATTTCTTCTTGTCCTTTTCATTTTATTTATTTTTTAATTTATTTTTTGGCTGCTGTCTGTCTTTTTATGTCTAAAAAATACGACAAACTAAATTATCATTTAAAGACTTTTTATTCACACAAAAAGGGAGGAAACAATGAATTTCATACAACTTGATTCTTGTTCTTCTTATTTTGGAAAGGGAGGATATCAGAGTCAAAACTTGACAAAATGAAGAAATGCACGTTGTAATACATCGTCACGCTCTTTTGTTTAAACAGATATTTCTGGTGACAGAGTTCCCAAAGGAGGTTGCCCGTCACCTGCAAACATTAAGAGGTCCTGGAAGCTGGCTGTTTGTGCTGCTCTGCTGCTCTGTGCAGGCAGGCCTCTGTGGCTGGTTTGTTCTGGAAGAAGACTCTCTGTCTAAATATGTGGCCAACATGAACATAAACTTTGAGAGGGCTTTTCTGGCATGTCCAGTGTCCTCACAGAAAATTGCTGTGATGCAGGGCTTAAACGGTGCCATGGCCCTTGTGTCGTTTATGTCCACCTTCATGGCGGTGAAGCCTCTTCATCAGTACAACCTTGCGAGGGACATCACCTTTTCCACACTGATCTACTGTGTGATTTGGGTGATCTTTATTCCAGTCTATACAGGCTTGAAAACCTCTAGCTCCACTGGGTCAAAAAATATGTCCATTGTACATGTTTTCTTTACTTTGGCAGGTAACTTGGGGTTGGTGGTTGCCTACTATTTCCCAAAATGCTACTTGCTGCTGAGAAAACCTGAAGTCAACAAACCAGAGCACTTCTGCACCTTCTTAGAGGGCGTCCCACCAACACCACAGGAGGATCCACAGACGAAGCCAGAAAAATAAACAATAATCTT